TCTACCACTCTCGATTTTTTAATTTCTGATGACGATTGTAATAATATTTCACGTGTGTATTTAATAATTTAATTTAAAATTTTATAAAAATAATATTGTTGATTTATCTATTTAAATACTATTTTTATAGCCAATGGTGAAGTATTATAGACAATAAATAAATCTTGAATTTAAATAGTTTTTTGATAGCATAAAAATAGAATTTCCTTATATATAAAAGCTATTATTAAAAAATTTTGTTATTGTATTTAATAATTATATACATAGTAAAATAAAAAAATAAAATTAGAAAATTTCTATTTTACCACCATGGTATTTGTTATTTTTACCATGATTATGCAAAACTTATTATTTTTAGTATTTAATATAAAAAATATAAAATATAAAAAATTATTTTTTTTAAAAATTAATAGTGGATTCAACCAATAGTCAAGCATTAGCAAAGATCATGAAAAATAGAAGAGCAGGCGAAGATAAACAATATCATGTGTAGTCGGCCTCTTTATTATGGCCGCCCAAACTTTGTAAAATTGTACGTACGTACATGATAAAATTACACTAAGTTATATTAACTTTTTTTTCATATATATATTTATTGGTTAAAATTTTTAAAAAACCTAAATACTAAAGTTATACGTAAGCAGTTAAAGTTTAAAAAATTGGTACAAATTTTACTATATGGGTAATTATTTTTGGACCGGACCGATTTTATATGCATCGATTTGACATAAATAATAACATTTTGGTCTGGATTCAAAAATAATTACCCATATATATATGTATATATAATCAAAAATTAACGTTACGTTAATTGCAAAGGTACGTACGTACGTACGTACTCTGATCAGACCTGCCTTCTGTAGAACTGAATTGAATTACTATTCTTAAAATTTTTAGCAACAAAAAGAAATTTGTTCTAACTCCCATTTCTTTTCGAGGAATGTACTCGTATTTAGGTTCATTTGACCATCTATATCGGAGTCTTCCAGGTCTTTCTATCAAATTTAGCGTCTTGAATATATCAAGCCAAATTTGGCGCATTTGATTACGTACAAGTGAGTTGGTGCATCATATTAATACGTATAACGATAATAAAATTTTGCTTTCACGTATAATTCTAAATTACGATATATTAATATTTTTATAAAATATTTATTTTAGCATTTAAATTTAATTAAGTTTACAACGCTATTCGTATCACTACTGTATAACGATAAATTCCGTTTTATCTGAACAGTTAATTTTGCCTATGAAATCGCTCCAAGAAAAAAAGATTCCTTGAAAAATTTTTGCGTATACTATGCCAATTATAACTTAATTATAACTTAATACTAACTTTCATAATAAATTTCTCTTATTCAATTGTTTTTATTGGATGTAAGTCACGTTCACAAAGTTTTTTTTGGACACTAATCTATTAGGACGAACACAATATAATGCTACGCATTAGTCATTGACATAGTTATCATTTGATTTGATTATTCAGTTATTCACTTTTGAGAATTTATACAAATGGAAAACGACAATTCTAAAGCAGCGGCAATTCTTCGACAAAGGTCATTACTTTTTTGGTTAGA